TAGTCCGCATTTGAAGCGGCTAGTGGGCCAAAACGAGAATTGTGGCATTGCCTGAGGCAATAGGACTCGAAAGCGGAAAAGGTCGGCATAAATAGAAGCACAAAGTCAACCTCGGTTAAGAGGACAGAAGGTAAAGAAGACAGGAGGACATTCACGATTTTGCTCAAGAAGACACAGAGACAGACAGACAGACAGACAGATAGACAGACTCACATGGGAATCACGAATCTTCTCCAACCCACTTTTTCTTTGACTTCAACAGTCAAGTCACACTAAACCATTACGAAAATTGTCCAGACCCAACCTTTTTTGCAAACCCGAAATGTTTTTGTAAGGGGCCATTTATCAGCTAAAATAGACACGCCGTAGAGATTAGTAACCACAACTACTGGACGGAGGGCGTCAGCAACAGTGTCAAACTTGGTAACACTCTATTGTCACAGTCTGAATTCGCCAGTATGCAAATTCCCGGCGTCGGAACTTGCATTTGGTATATTCCTTTCCAGAAGCAACATGTGAAACTTCTACTCAACAATGCCGTTTTGGTACCTTTAGCTCAGCCTCCTCCTCACCAAATCTGGACAATGTGAATATAGTCAACTTATACACAATTCTAGAAAAGGGAATGAAGAGATCTTCCTGAACTGTTGGTCATAAAGTTGGTCAAGAAGTCGGCTTTAATCGTCTCTCCAACTGGCTGTAGCCCCAATAAGTTTACAAACCCACCAGCATCACATCTCATCTTATCTCGCTTCAATTTCAAGTCCACCTTCTGAGGCTATGGCAGACGTCGTCTTGACGACAGGACCGAGTTGAAAAGATGAGTTCTTCCTGGTTTTCGAAATGTACCGGTCTCGATGGGTTTTGCTTTCCACCGACGATGAGACCGTCGACGATGCGGAAAAAGCGAAAGCCTAAATTGCCCAAAGCATTCCACCTCGTCAACCCACACGAAAACCTCTCACTCATGGGCCTCGCCTCATCGTCACGCCAGCAACACAGCGCGGCTCCAACCATGGTTAAATCATATAGGCTTAGCACCATTTGATGGTAGCAGAAAAAGCACACTAGTCTCAACATTTTTGGCAGATACAGATCCATGGAAGTCATGACTTTGTCGTGTGCATATGTATGCATGTATGTATGTGTGAATTAATAAAATAATGAATGTACGCTAGTATGCATATAAAAAATGATTGTATAAATAAGTACACATGAATATATGTGACTCGAATCTTCATTTCCAAGGAAGAGTTTGTCGAAAGGGATTCGTAACGCCACGACAGTATTCGTTGAAGCGAGAAAGCATTCGTTACGAAATGCATTAAACCATAAAAAAAGGACATTCTATGCCTAAACTTGCAATCTCTATCTGGTGTCTCATGATTGCTTTAACTTCTAGAGGCTTGTAGATGAGTGAATTTGATGCATCAAAGGTAATGCGGATGTGGTCAAAACGTATTTCTTGTCTATTAGTGTACATTGTGTTGTTGTCTATCAAAATGTGTATGTGCGAAATTTCGATTTAGAATTTAGTCGGTCTTGTAAATGTGAAAGGTCTTTGGTAGGCTATGGTCTGTCACAGTGAGAAAGGTAAAGTTAAACAAGGTTTCATAGGTAACTTGGGCCGATGAGCCGAAGAGTTCTCATCATCCTTTCTTGATTTTCGTTGCGACTATTTCACTAATTCGTTCAAGCAAACATTTCCATCGAAATGAAAGGTCGAGTTCAAATGCAAAAGTATCTTTCTTCTTACTCTTTTTCCTCTGAACAAGGCTCTCGAAAGGGCGATCGCTGCTCAGTACCGTCCGACTCGCCAGGGTCCTGTGAAAAGGGCTGAAGATAAATGTTAGCAAAGTAGGCAATTTGGTGAAGTTTGGCATGACGAAAGTTGTGGAGACACACTTCAAGAAAATAGACACATAAAAAATTCAGTTTAAAGATCAACGCAAATTGTATGCTTTTGCGAAAACTGACCAAATCTCTTTCTTTACGTCTGTGTCTGAATATCTTTGTTTTAGTTGTGCAATGGTTTCGCCCTATTTTATTTAGGTTGATGCAGGACCGGTAAATGAATTTTCCCAAAATCATATGGGAATTTCACATGGCATTGCCTCCCAAAAGCTATTCTGCTCCCGGCTGAGGCAAACGGCAGCTTTAACTTCGCCCGAACTAGTAGCATGATCATCCCAAACGGAACTCGAGCCATGACACTGCAGCGTGTAATCTCGACAAGTTAATCACTACGCCACATTGCCACGAGTGTGCTTGGGTCAGAGAGTAGATGTGAATTTCAAAGAAGGCCAGGTCTTTTCCCATGTCACATTTTGTGGCAAAGTTTCGTTTGCTGTAACAATCGACCTACTTATTAACGAAACATCGTTTTGAGTAATATGAGATGTATTCACCCAATTTCGTTTAAGGTCATGAAGGACTGGTAGAAGAAGAATTTTCCCACAATCATATGAGTTGAGCTGACGTTTCCATTTCATTTCACATAGCCTTGCTTTCCCAAAAGTTGAACTACTAGTCCTTCATCACCTTAAGCGAAATTGGGTGAATACATCTCATACTACTGATTTATTGGTAGTCTCAAAAATAATACTTTATTCGAAAAATAAAGTTGGGTAGGGCCAGAATGTCTTCTTGACTTTACATAAACTTAAAGCTCTTGCAAGAATGTGTTCCAGCTCTGACAATCTTCGTACATTGCCATATTTGAAAAAGGTTTTGCTAAAAATGCCCCACGATACCGCTAACTTTCTAGTATCTTAGCCACAAAGTGGGAAATATGAAGTCAAAAGTAAGCCAACTCACATCGTCAGCTGTAGTGTCAAAACACATTGTGCAAAAGAAAAAATCCCACCAAGGACAAAAAGTGATTTT